GGGGTTGATCAAGAGGTCAGGAGATCCAGACCATCCTGGCCAACATAGTGAAACCCCGTCTCTCTAAAAATACAAAAAAAAAATTAGCTGGGAATGGTGGCGCACGCCTGTAGTCCCAGCTACTCAGGAAGCTGAGACAGGATAATTCCTTGAACCTAGGAGGTGGAGATTGCAGTGAGCCGAGATCGCGCCACTACACTGCAACCTGGGCAACAGTGTGAGACTCCCTCTCAAAAAAAAAGGAAAATACACATTCCGTAAAACGGGGGCTACGGAGGTAGGGATCAGGTCTGATTTTCCACAGTAGGGACTCACTCTAATCTAAGAGGAGGAGGCAGTTGGCTTAGTTGTCCACAGGCTGAGGCCTGTATCTGCAACCACTTTGGGGATGGGTGAGTTGGGGAGTGACACTGAGGGCTCTAGGTCTACACGAATGGGGAGGAGCTGCCCTCCCCCTGTATAGTAAATGTTTCTAAGCTCCTCTATACTGGTATGGGGACAGATACATCAAAGCCTCGGTCTGTCCAGCGGTCGGAGGTGCCTCGAAGCGGCTGTCTGGAGCCAAGCCGAGGAAGTGCCTTAAACCGGGAGAAGTCTGCACTGCTCGTCTGAGCGGAAGGAGATGTCTCTATACATAAGATTGGGGTGGATGTCCCCCATACCTTCGGTGAGCCAACGCTTGTGTATACAGGGTGAATGCAGAATGGAGCCTCACTATCTTGAGGACGCTCAACGCTTCACCACACAAGTGAGGTTTGTGCCTCTCTACTACACAGTGTGTCCCGGATTTACACCTTTCTAGATGGGATGGGGCAATGCCCCTCTCCCGGAGAACTCCACCCCGCGAAAAGGCAATTCGGCGCGTCTCCACGTGTGCTGCGATCCCTGCTCCTCTTCTGGGCCCTTGTAGCCTAGAAGAGATCCGGCTGTTTACCTCTCTATTCCAGGCTCGCGGGCATCTGTGGTTTCACCTTCAGTAGAGGATCCTAATTGCCCGGTCGTCTAGGTGAGCGCACACCGTGAGAAAAGAGAGTAGTTTCTTACCTATACTTCCGGCGGGGATGTGAGAAGAGACAGCCACACGACAACTCGGTTGGGCGAGCAAATGCTCACGCGCAGCTAGGCTCAGACTTCCGGATCCCAGGCCAGCGGCGCCCGACTCCGCCCACTGTGCGTTCTCTGCGGGGGGCGGGCTTTTGACTGACAGCTCGCGCCCGCCGGTCCCTTCCTCGCTACCACGCTGGCCCCGCCTCCTGGCTGCCCCGTAGATAAGGAAATAGCGGAGGAGGTAGAGGGAGGACAGCGAAGTGACAGGAAGAAGCGGCGGGTCGACTGGTGCAGCCATATACCCTACTTGCAAGTCAAAATTTTGTCTGCGGGGATCTGTCTGGGGTTAAACATGCGTACTCCCAAACCTCAGTAACCAGGCAGTCACCATGCCCGAATCAAACAAGGGTGGGGGATAGTGTCTTTGTCTGCCTGGAAGATGGCGTCAGCAGGGTGTAAGAAAATGGCCGCCTGGGTCACATGTCTGGCCGAGTATTCCCCACCTAAAGTGAATGGTTAGCTATTCCCAACGACCTTCCCGGGTCCTTGGGCCCCAGGCACTCCCTGAGCACTCCCAGCTCTTTATGCGTTAAGTTCAGATCTATGGCCAGACCCAACCCGAAATGGAGCAGGAGCCAGAACAACAAGAAGCCTCTCCCACCCGTTTGCCTTCTTCCCCTCCTACTCCATCCTTCCCTCAATCACGGAGCAGCGTCTGCAGAACGGAATGAATTTATATCTCTGGACTGGGGCAAGTAAGGGTTTCTGAAACCATCTCAAGGAGCTAGCTGGGAAGTAAGGTCTCCCCCAGAAAACTGTAAATATTAGTCTGAAATGCCTCTTTCCTGATGCTTTCATTCCAGCCCCTCCTCTTCCTCAAATCTAAACCCTGGGGTGGGGCACAGAGTAGGTGGGACTCTGCCTGTGAGGGTGGGTTTCTTTCTCCACTTCAAGCATGGATGGGCTGAAAAGGACTCCGTCTATCCCTTTACCCCTTACATAAACAGAACTCACTACCTCTACATCGTTGGAGGGTTTCTAACCTCTCATCCTAGAGACACATGAAATTCCGCTGGACCCCAAACCAGCCTTGACCACCTTCACCTTTACCGCTGCATTGGCAAATTTTTTCTGCTTTCTTAAGACCTAACTCTTGTCACTTCTATGAAACCTGCTCTGACATTCCCAGATGAGTTAGAAACCCAGAGCACCTTACCTATACAGCTAAGCTAGCACTTATCACTTAATACTGTAGTTGTTTATGTGGCTGTGTCTCCACACGAGAGTGAACTCCCTAAGAGCAGGCGCCATGTATCTTCAAGCCTTCAACAAGACCCAGCACAAGACTGGTAGGAGGCAGGCTTCAACAAATGTTTTTTTGTTTGTTTGTTTGTTTGTTTTAAAGACAGGGTTTCACCATGTTGGCCAGGCTGGTCTTGATCTCCTGACCTCAGGTGATCCCCCCGCCTCGGCCTCCCAAAGTGCTGAGATTACAGGCCTGAGCCACCACGCCCGGCCAACAAATGTTTGTTAAATGGGCAAGTTTACAGGCCTGCACCACAAATCAATGGGAAATGGACAGTTTAGTAGATAGCATTGGGAAATTTGGCTCTCCATGAAAAGAAATATAAAACTGGATCCTTACTTATTCGACCTAAGAGGGTGGACTGTGAATGTGAAAGGTAAAACTATGAAGTTAATATATGCAGGAGAATATCTTCGTGACTTGTGACGGGGGAAGGACTTTTTAAACAAAATCCCAAATGCACAAACTATAAGAAAAAAATACAATGAAATCTTTGATAGAAGTGGAAACTAGTTATTACGACTTCGGAAAACAATTAGGAAGTATCCAGAATAGCTGAAGATGATCCTGGGACCCAGCAATTCTAGTATTTGAGATAATTGATTAACAGATAGATAGATAGATAGATAGAGATCACCCCTAAACTTTAACTCGTAGAGAAATTTTTACACATTTGCTCAATGAGCATGTGAAGGAATGTTCATTGCAGAACTGTAATAGAGAAAAAAAATGTGAGCAACCTAAAACTCCACTAACAGGAGAATGAATAAATAAATTATGGTATTGCCATTGGACAGAATACTATGCAGAATACTGTAATGCAAAAGAGTGAATCATGTTGCGTGCATCAACCCAGCTAAATTTCAAAAATACAATACTGAGATAAAATACAAATTGCAGAGACCGGGTGCGGTGGCTCTGTAATCCCAGCACTTTGGGAGGCAGAGACGGGTGGATCACCTGAGGTAAGGATTTCTCAAAAAAAAAAAAAAAATTGCAGAAGGATACATAAAATATCAAACCATTTATACAAAGTTTTAAAATCTAGAAAACAGCGAATAATATTGTTTATAGATTATATAG